CTAAGATTACCTGATGCAACACCAAATGCACATTTTTCGAGATTTAACTTCATATTAAATATTCGCAAAATTTTAAACGTTTCAGTCAGATGCGATATATGATCTCCTGAGTGCTGAGTTTTAACAAGCATATCATCTATATAGACCTCCATAGTTTTTCCCAAATGCTCTTGAAACATTTTGGTAACTAACCTCTGATACGTTGCTCCTGCATTCTTTAGACCAAAAGGCATTACTTTATAACAATAAGTCCCCATGTCTGTTATGAATGAAGTTTTTTCTTCATCTCCCGGATCCATTTTAATCTGATTATAACCTGAATATGCATCTAAAAAACTTAACAACTCATGCCCTGCAGTAGCATCAATTAGTTGATCTATATGAGGTAATGGAAAAGAGTCTTTAGGACAAGCTTTGTTAAGATCTGTATAGTCTACACAGACTCGCCATTTACTGTTCTTTTTAGGTACCACAACAGTGTTGGCTAGCCACTCAGGATACTTTACCTCGCGAATAGACCCATTTTTTAACAATTTGTGTACCTCATCCTGAATCACCTAATTTTTGAAAGTGCCCTGCTTTCTTTTCTTTTGTTTGATAGGTGGATGAGATGGGTCTTCATTCAATTTATGAGTCATTACCTCCGGTGGTATACCAGTGATATCAAAATGGGACCAAGCAAAACAATCTGCGTTAGCTTTTAAAAATTCAATCAACTTACGTTTCATATCCGGGCTGAGATTGGCTCCTATATGCACTTTTCTTTCTGGCCAGTGTATAAACAAAACCACTGCCTCCAGCTCTTCTATCGTTGTTTTGATGTTTTCATTTTCTTCTGGTTCTTGAATGGAATCAGGCTTTGAATCCACATATGTTTGCCCTTGTTCAGTTGAGGTTGATGTTATGTTATCCTCAACTGGATTCTGTAATTGCTATTTCTCTTCACCCTTCGCACTTAAATTTTCCACGGCATTGATGCTCCTGGATGTCTGTTGGTCTCCCCTGATTTAACATATTCCCCATGGCGCTGGAAATTTAATGACTTGATGCAAAGTTGATGAAACAGCGTCCATGTCATGGATCCATGGCCTCCCAAGAATTATGTTGTAAGCCATTTCCATTTCTACTACCTGAAATTTTGTGTCTTTGACAACACCTTCTACGAATGTAGTAAGCATCACCTCCCCTTTCGTTACAACACTGGAATTGTCAAATCCTGACAAAGTATGTGCTTTTGGTACCAATTTATCTTCTGCTTGCATCTCGCGTAGTACTCGTACCAAAATAATGTTCACGGAACTACCTGGATCAATTAAAACTCATTTCACGTTAGTGTCATGTACAAGTAAAGATATTACCAGTGCGTCGTTATGTGGAGTTAATAGACCCTCGGCATCTGCATCATCGAGCGTAATATTTTCTTCCTCCAAGACATGTCGAAGCCGCTTCCCGTGGGTAAATTTTACTTTGGAAATCTTGTTAGCTGCAGTATATGATACACCATTGATATCTTCACCCCCACTTATAACGTTGACAGTTCTTTTGGGAGAAGGTGGTTTTGGAGGCTCTTGCCTGTTCTTCATGTAAGCTTGTTTTCCCTTCTCACTGAACAGCTCAGTAAGATATCCTTGTTTCAGTAAATGATCAACTTCACCTTGTAAAAATCTGCAGTCTGCTGTTTTATGCCCGTGGTCATTGTGAAACTCGCACCAATGATCAAGGTTGCGCCTGTTTGGATTCGATCTCATCTCTTTCGGCCATCGAACCTTATCTCCCATGCTTCTTATAACAGCCACGAGTTCAGAAGTGCTCACGTTGAAATTATAACCGCCAAACCTTGCCTTTAGGCCTCTATCATCATCTCGTGATTCACGTGTGCTTCGGTCATTCCTAAATCTAGATGATGAGCCTGACTCTCTATTCCTCGATCTGTGATTGTACCTTTGATTGTCCTGTTTTAACCGTGAGTCTCTTCCTGCAGGTCCCATGTATGGCTCGTACCTATTTTTACCGGACCTTTTTTCGTTTTCCGCCCGTCTTGAGCTTACCTTTTCTTCTTTTTGATTCCGTGAAATAATATCTTCTTCAATCCTCAACTTTGTGCTATATCTGTTGTAAATGTCATTCCATGTTGTAGCGGGGAATTCACGAAGGCTTTCCTTGAGTCGCCTCGTAGCTTCTGAGCTTTTCTCATTCAAATTGCTTGTGAAAGCTATAGCTGCCCAGTTATCTGGTACACGTGGCAATGTCATTCTTTCACGCTGAAATATGTCCACAAATTCCCTAAGCAATTCTGAGTCCCCTTGTTTAATTTTAAAAATATCTTCCATTCTTTTTTCGACTTTTTGAGCTCCCGAGTGTGCTTTGATGAAAGAATCTACAAGCTCGACAAAAGAATTTTTAGAACTTTTGGGAAAAAGAGAATACCATGTTAGTGCACCCTTAATGAGTGTTTCACCAAATTTCTTGACTAATACTGATTCAATCTCATGCTTAGTCAAATCGTTGCATTTTACGCCTGTTGTGAGTGCAGTCATGTGGTCTCGTGGGTCTGTTGTTCCGTCGTATTTCGGTATATCAGGCATTTTGAATTTCTTTGGAATTGGAAGGGGACCAGCGCTTGGCTTCCAGGGCTGTTGAGAATACTTATCCATATCTACCCCTTTGATCACGGGTGGCACCCCGGGTATTTGCTCTATGCAGTCACTTGACTCCTTGAGCTATTTCCGCAATGTTAGTACTAAGTTTTGTAAATCAGAATTAACTAAATTACCTGGTTCTCCCTCCTGTGATTCGCTGGGGGTTCCACCACTACCTGAATTAACGAGCCCGGAATGAGAGTTCTCCAGAGTGTTGTTATTTGGGGTGGGTGTGGGTGGTGCAGCAGGTAATTGGCCGATAAAAGCCTGAAGAGCTTTATTGACTTGTGAGGCAATAAGATTTTGCAAAGCCTCATCCATAGTTTCAACATTTTCGAATTGAGCCTGTCCATTTGTATGAGACCCATCAAGAGTGCCTTCACGAGACCGCCGTGGAGAGCCTCGTGGAGAAGTAATCAGTACGTTATTGTTCTGTGGATCTCCCTGAAGTTGCTGGGTTGTTTGATTTTCTTGGTTTCCTTGAATGTTGTCATTATTGTTCGACATAGTTGATGCAACAAGGAAAGTTAGGCTGAAATAAAATGGATTATCACATTCCAGGTAACGGAACCAATTTGTTTAACCAAAAAATAGAATTTTGACTAAAGCTATAATTTAGAAGAACACGGGTTACTGATAATCGCAAGAATGTATAAAAGAAAGTAATTTGGATAGCCAGAATATAATTAAATAAAATAAGTAAACCAAAGTATATTCAGATGATCTTTCGTGTCCCTATAATTGTTCAGTTCTCCCCTTTTTATAGCTATTTTTGAGATATATGTCTTGCCTTTGTCATGATAAGGCCATTATGGGCAATTAATGACATTGAATGCTACGTTACATAATCATTATATTCAAGACAGATTCTATAACGTTTTTAGCACTTAAGGCTTATTAAATACTGTATTTGGACTCTCATGTGTTGTCAAATTCATTCCCTTGATTCTTCTTGATTCTTGAATTTAAATGTCCTGAATAGGTACGGGCGCCGAATCCCTTGAATGTCTGCCCGTGCCTCTTCCTTTGCCTTTGCTCGCATCCATTGCTACTCGTGCCTCATGGCTAGTTGAAATTCTTTGACCATTTGACCAGTCTACGTGTCACGACACGTCATCTCCATACTACTTTAATATGTAAACTCAATTTTCCCAATACAATAAATATATTATATTATGGATGTTCATTTAGTACTCCGTTGTAAATAAGCTTCCTGAAGAATCTTATCCAGATGGGACTCCGCTGTAAATATGTTTATCTATATAGTACTCTATTGGAAATAAGCCTCCTGAAGAAGCTTATCACTTCGGTACTTGGTTATGGATAAACATTACCCCTAGTAGAAGATTATCCATACCGGGTATAATAAGTTTATCCTTTCGATACTCCGTTATGGATAAACATTACCCCAGGTAGAAGATTATCCATACCGGGTACAATAAGCTTATCCTTTCGATACTCCGTTATGGATAAATATTACATCCGGTAGAAGATTATCCATACCGGGCACAATAAGCTTATCCTTTCGATACTCCGTTATAGATAAATATTACCCCCGGTGGAAGATTATCCATACATGGTACAATAAGCTTATCCTTTCGGTACTCCGTTATGGATAAACATTACCCCCAGTTGAAGATTATCTATATCTGGTATAGTAGCAGCTTGCAGTAGCAGCTTACACAGTAGTTTCCTTTCTTCTACAAAATAGAAGAGATTTCAGTTTATTATGTACATAAGTTTGAAGTTGAATAATATATGAGTTTCTCTCTATACTTGTCTTTACTTTGTAGTCTTTATTTTATAACACGTTATCAACACGAGACTCTGCCATCTCGAGCAAATACTTTGAAAGTATCAGAGGTACGAACTTTCTTCTTCTAAATAATGTCAAATCTCTCTAAACTTAAATTTTTAGCCATGTATATATCGGGAAAAAGCTACATGTCTTGGGTGCTTGATGCTGAAATTCATCTTGATGCAATGCATCTGGCAGGCACCATCAAGGACAAAAATCAAGCATCAAACCAAGACCGTGCCAAAGCAATGATATTCCTACTCCATCACCTTGATGAGGGCCTGAAAATGGAATATCTTACGGTTAAAGATCCAGTCATACTGTGGAATAATTTGAAAGATAGATATGACCACCTGAAGATTGTCGTTCTTCTACAGGCACGTTATGATTGGACTCATCTAAGGCTACAAGATTTTAAGTTCGGTGAGTATAATTCTGCTATGTTCAGGATTATTTCCCAATTGAAATTATGTGGTGATAATATTACTGATCATGATATGTTGGAGAAAACTTTCACCACTTTTCATGCCTTGAATATGCTCCTGCAATAGCAATATCGAGAGATGGGATTCAAGAAGTATTTTGATTTTATCTCACATCTTCTTGTAGCCGAGCAACATAATGGGCTATTAATGAAAAACCATGAAAGCCGACCTACTGGTTCTTGTCCATTCCCTGAAGTGAATGAGACGAACTTCCACCAAGCTAAACGTGGAAGAGGTCGTGGCCCCAGTCGTGGTCATGGCCGTGGTCGGGGAAGAAACTTTAATCATGGTAATAATAATGCACCAAAGAACCCTCCTCACCACCAGCAGTGGAAAAGGAAGGAACAAAAGCATGAAGCGGTGCAAGCACCAAATGCAGAAAATGCATGCTATAGATGTGGAGGAAAAGGGCACTGGTCACGTACTTGTCATACGCCAAAGCACTTGGCTGAGCTTTATCAAGCCTCCCTACAGAAGGCAGAGAAAAATGCTGAAGCAAATTTTATTTCTGAAGATAATTTAAACTTCATGCATTTGGATGTAGCTGATTACTTTGCACTCCCAGAAGGAGAAACAAGTCATGTGAACGGTGGTGAATCTGTAGAAATGTAAATATTTTAAAATTTTGTTGTTTGTAATAGATAGTATGGTTATGTAACTGCTATATATAAATAAAAATTATGCTTTGATAATGATGTTTACTATAATATATTTTATTTATGTCATTTTAAAAAATATGGATAACATTATTAGATCAACTTAAACTCCAGCAGAGTTTGCAAAAAATATACAACCACTAGAAGTGGTTATATTTCGTATATCTCATTGTAACTAAATTTTATTAACCACCAGAAGTGGTATATGCCTATGATCACCAGAAGTGATAATTTAGGCTTTCTATGGTTACAATTGAAGATAAGCTACATAAATATTATCTATATTAAATGCACGCCTTGATTTGCTCTTGAAGTAGTAAATACTTTAAAGAGGTTGAAGCATCACAAGTTGATGTGATTAATGCGCGTTCAGATAATTACGTTTGATTTCCTGAAGGATGAGAACTTTTGATAATATTAATCCATTCCCTGAAGTGAATGTGACAATATTAATAAATCTTGTAAATATGAACGCGCTCTTGATGTAAATATATTACAATTCACCTCCAGAAGAGATAATATAATTGAGAGAATATATTCTCAATATTTCGTATTTTAAATTTGCTCCTCAAGAAGTAACACAATTGAAATTGCCTCCTGAAGTAGGAAAATATTATGAAGAGGAGTTTTCTTGTGCTTAAACGATTGTTTTATATTGTTTATTTGATTGTGATTTTCTCTCATGATACCAGAAGTGTCTGAGCAATATTTTATAGTACAAAATGTATCAACAACTTCTGAAGAGCTAACTGTTTGCTTAGAAGACACATGACACCAGTAGTGTCCGATAAAAATATTAGATTATGGATAATAAATGAAGGCTCTCGAAGAGCTTATATACAAATATGTCATTCATATTATATGATTATGGTCAAAACATATGTTGTATTAAATTTGAAGTTCACTAATACAAATGACTATCATATTGAGACTACAAATGACTGGAATATTGAAAATGTTCATGTTTCCACAATCATAGGGGGTAAAATTTAATGTATGTGAGAAGTTACCCGCCTTATTCTTCAATTTATATTATATCATGTATCACAGTAAATCAGAAGTTTACTAATGCAAAAGCAGTCATGGTAAACCAGAAGTTTACTAATGCAAAAGTTTATGCCATAGTAAACCAGAAGTTTACTAAGAGATAGCACATGCCATGATAAACTTGAAGTTTTCATTTGCCATTTTTGAATGAGCTATTTAAGAATTTAGATAAGCATATATTAAAGAACTAGAAGATTCTTCAAAAATTCTCTTATGTTGCTTGTTCTCATAATACATTGATTATACTAGCTAAAGTTGGGACTAAGACTCCCGAATTCTGAAATATATAAAAGGTGAATATGGGTCCATTCACCTATCGTGTAAATCACTTATAGATGCATATATGAGATCGTTACATGTGTGATTATTATCAACCTACAGTTTTGCATTTGAAATTGCTTTTCTCAAATAAGAGAATGACTTTCAGATTATGAAATCAAGATAGTTTATCTTGATAATGCTGGTTTATATCCAAGCTGGTTTAGCATTGAATACCTCCTATTAATGGCTAAACTATTGCTTATGAGAACAAAGCTTCATGTGTTGGTCTAAGATTTTCTAAATTGCATATAACACCACTTGTATGCATCGACCAACAATATATGATAAGTCCTCCCCTCACAATTGGTTTAGGATCAGAAACCAAATATTTTTACTATCTAATAACTTTTGATGCGAGGTATATGATTAATTTCTCTACCACAAAGTACAAAGATAGGTTTCCCAAAGAAGATTTGGGCTATATGTTAGTTTTTATAACATTAGGGGGATGGAAGAAACAGCTGGAAAATATGTTATATGAATCGAATTATCATTAATATGATCCTCACTTGAAAGATAATTCAAGTCAAATGCCAGAAGCATTTGCTGATCCAAAATTAAATATCATATTTCAGCTGCAAATGCTCCTATTAAAATTAAAGTCCCTAAGGATAAAGTTTACTACATGCATGAAGCGTAGTAAATCGATAGGTTACAAAGGTAACAATCCTTGAAAAGGATAGGAGCAAATGATCATATGAGGAGGAAATGAGCTCTAGAAAAGTCCACGACATAACATTTCATGAAACTCCAGAAGAAGTTCAGGTACCTGAAAATAAAGAAAGTGATGAGATCTCAACAAGTTATGTCGCTTAGGAACCGCTACAAAATGATCGTCGACGATATATTTGATACAATATAGTGCACAATATTGTAAAAGATTGTGAGGATCGGACCTGTAGTCCAGTCGTCCAGACACATGATGTCATGCCATTTAAATGCAAGTCATAACCTATATGACTTATTTGATTAAATCTATATAAAAATCCCTGAAGGATTTAAAATACTTGAAGCATATAATTCAAAGTTCAAAGTCTTGATAAATGTACTCGATCAAATTATAAAGATCTTTGTACGGTTTAAATCAATCTGGGCGCATGTTATATAATCGCCTCAGTGAATATTTGCTGAAAGAAAGTTACATAAATGATGTTATTTTTCCATGTATTTTTATAAAGAAAATATCATCTGAATTTTGTTACACTTGCTATTTATGTTGATGACATAAATCTTGTTGGAACTCCAAAAGAGCTCCAAAAGGCAATTGAATATCTTAAGAAAGAATTTGAGATGAAAGATCTTGAAAAAATAAAAATTTGTCTTGGTCTGCAAATTGAATATTTAGCAGATGAGATCTTTATCCATCAATTTGCCTATACAGAAAGGGTCTTTAAACGCTTTTACATGGACAAAGTGCACCCATTAAGTACACCAATGGGTGTTCGATCACTTGAAGTGAATAAGAATTCGTTCCGACCTCCAGAAGAGGATGAGGAACTCCTTGGTCCCGAAATACTCTATCTCAGTGCAATTGCTATGCACTTATGTATCTTGCTAATGCTAACAAAGGTGGTGCAGATTGTATTGGTTATGTAGATACAAGATTAGAATGCGGAGACTCAAATATTTGAAACAAGGTTTTCTTCAGGGGGAGTAAAACACGCGATGTACTCTTTTTCCCTTACAAAGGTTTTTTCCACAGGGTTTTCCTTATAAGGTTTTTAATGAGGCAGCCAGCAATGCGTATTACTAAATATGTGTACTTTTTTCCTTCACTTGATTTTTTCCCACGGGGTTTTTCATAATAAGGTTTTAATGAGGCACATTATTTTTTAATGAACATCCAAGGGGGAGCGTTATAAATATATTATATTATGAATGTTCATTTAGTACTCCGTTGAAAATAAGCTTCCTGAAAAAGCTTATCCATATGGACTCCGCCGTAAATATGTTTATCTATATAGTGCCCTATTGGAAATAAGCCTCCTGAAGAAGTTTATCACTTCGATACTCGGTTATGGATAAACATTACCCCCGGTAGAAGATTATCCATACTGGGTACAATAAGTTTATCCTTTCGATACTCCATTATGGATAAACATTATCCCCGGTAGAAGATTATCCATACCGGATACAATAAGCTTATCCTTTCGATACTCGGTTATGGATAAACATTACCTCAGATAGAAGATTATCCATACCGGTACAATAAGCTTATCCTTTCGATACTCCGTTATGGATAAACATTACCCCCGGTAGAAGATTATCCATACCTGGTACAATAAGCTTATCCTTTCGGTACTCCGTCATGGATAAACATTACCCCATTTGAAGATTATCTATATCTGATACAGTAGCAGCTTACACAGCAGCTTGCAGTAGCAGCTTACACAGCAGCTTCCTTTCTTCTATAAATAAAGGAGACTTCATTTTATTATGTACCTACATTAAAAGTTGAATAATATATCAATTTCTCTCTATACTTATCTTTATTTCGTAGTCTTTATTTTATAACTGATTTTTGTTAGTAGTGATATATAAATTGTTCTTTATTATTTACAACTAATTATCTAAACCAAGCACCTCATTGCATTTTTAAGTGTGCATAAGTACCTCTTTTGTTTGCTATGAGATCTATTTGGTAGCAGCTATCAAATATACACATGGCAACCAAAGAGTAAGCTAAGAAGGAGAAAAAATAAAGCAATTACATGAATGTTTGAAACTGGAAAGACGCGTGTCCATGAATGTACAAAAAATTCCAATTTCCTAAATTATCCCTACGACCCCAAGCTCCTCTCGCTAGCCATTTCCATAATAATAGTAAAACATCGTCATAACTCATAGCATCCAAAACAATATGAAAATTAACAAAAAAGTGTGCCGAGTCACTTGTGCCACTGAAAGAGCCACATAGCTACCGCATCGGTATTTCAGTGCTTACCACATCGTACTACGTGAGAATTTAAACATGTTACTCCCAAATGTTAAAAACTTGAAAAAAGAAAAAGAAGCTAAAGACACTGACCGGCACTATTAACCAATAGAAGATAGATTCATTTGGAAGGTAGTCCCATTTTAGGGAAATAAAAATATCGAGGAAGATATTTTCCCCCCTTACTTTTTTACTTTTTCTAGTTACTCATTCCGTTTCAATTTAGGTGAACTTATTTAATTGAACATGAAATTAAAAAAAACAAATACATTTGAAATTTATAGTTCTAACAAATTAAAAAAGGGCTCAAAATATTTGTGTAATTATATAAAAAATTTATTAAAAATAGAATTATAAATTTAAATTAAATTATTACCAAATTTTAAAAAAAAATTATTTTTTTTAAATGGACCAGAGTACCACCGTCTCAGTGACCTGTCAGCACCGTTTTCCTCAACCTATCACCGCTAATATCCTTTATCCGTACGCCGCCATCACTCGTCGCCTCGTCGTTGGAATCTCCCTTTGCCGCCACGTGTTGCACCCTCATTGGAAAAGCCCTCTTTAAATTCACCCAATTACCCACTTCAAATTCACCCAATTACCACTGTCAAAAAATTAGTAGATCCAAAGCGAGGTGAATTATACAGAAGGCTAATAGGCGTGAGTACCATAAGTGGTAACATAGTCTAATTGAATTTTTAAGGCGAAAAAGGAGGAGTCTCCAAAAGCTGAGAGGTACTTTATGAAATTCGTGAAAGTGATGGAGATGGAGGTACAAATCTTATATATTTAGACACGGATGGATAATATTCATTTTGTTGAGAAATTTAGGGTTGGGGAGATTGAAGAAATTAAGTATGGGAAGGAAGAAAGTGGAAATAAAGCGGATCGAAGACAGGAGTAGTAGGCAAGCGACTTTCTCGAAACGCAGAAGCGGACTGATGAAGAAAGCCAATCAGCTCTCTATTCTCTGTGACGTTGATATCGCCGTCGTCGTCTTCTCTAGCCGTGGACGCCTCTTTGAATTCTCCAGTACTAACAGGTTCCTTCTTCTTTTCCCAAACAAAGAAATTACTCTATTTTGTGTTGTATTTATCTGAATGAGATGATTACCTCTGCTAGATTTTTTTTTATAATATTACTTTATTTTTAAGCCGTAGATATATTTTGCATATGCGGATTTTTTTGTTTAGAATATTTATTATCGCCTGACTGTAAGCACGACAGCTAGCTATCTAAGCTGACACAGACACGTTTTAATTTGATTATTTTAAGCTTCCTTGAGGATTTTTTTGTTAATTGATGCGGCGGATGCTTATGTCATGCAACTGGCTCTAATATTTTTATTTTAATTGGGCTCTCTCTCTCTCTCTGTGTGAATGAGTCTAACTACTTCATGGCTTCAGAACTCAGGATCTGAGTCTTTCTTCTTTCGTGACTTCTTTGGCTTTTGCCATTAAAAATTAACAGACAGAGAGTTTTAGACATGTGATGATATATATGTCAATTGCAGTTTCTGCGAGTAACTGAAATCCCATTAACCACAGGTAGGAAACTAGGCAACCTAATCTGGTTGTTAAGGTGTTCTACTGAAATCATTGTTTAGCCGAAGGGATGATATATATAGTAGAGAATTTCTAATGATAGGAATTTGACAAATTAATGTACTAGTTGTATGTACGAAGGTTTCTTCATCCGTGGAAGACCCATTATTTTATGTGTTGCAAAACCTGGGCACCTTAGGGCCTTCCCTATAATTGATTGACATTAAATAAAAATGTCAGTCTGCTATGTTATTAAAGCAAGAAACGAAGGGATGATATATTTCCTGGAGTAGTTTTATTCATTGAGTTAAAAGATATTTATTTGAGGACAATTTTTTAGAGAGTACTATGGTTAGAAAATTGGGACATCGTTTATGGGAGAGTAGCCTACGAGGACTAGAGAAAATCTCCGCTCCATTTCTTTCCATTATCCCAAAACTAAGAAAGCCTAATCTTTAAGACCTCTTTCTAATATTAGCTAGATAGCTACTTCTCATTATATATATAATATTTGGTTAATAAGTAGAACTAGTAGAATTATATGCTTGAAAGATGGTTGTTCATACATTAATAAAATCTTGAAAGTGTGATCGTTAATTGAGAAGAAATTTAAGTGGTATTTTCCATATTGCCTTGGATTGTAACACATGTTGGGTATCAGACAAATGACTGAATAGTTATTGATGTATGTAAAATATAAATTACAAATCATTTATATGGTTCCACATGAGAAACCTGTAAGAGCGCAACTTAGATATTATTTAGTTAGTTTTTGCACAATTTCTTGAAGGGAATCGTGTGATGGTGTTCAGAATCAAAAAATGTATCATTAAAATGGACCTGTTAGTTAGTTTTATCATAAAGTACTCATACATCTAACTTGGTCCCAGCTTAAAAAAGACTGGTTGTCGTAAAAATGAAATGCCCAATTTCTAATTAGTATGCACGCGACCCATACTAATAAATTGAACCCATTCCACCACTTATTTGTGCTCTTTACTCCATCTTCGTCACCTTCCTCCCTCCTCTATAACACCAGCAACACCGTTATGCCAACATGAACCACCACATGTTTTTCAACATTTACCTTCAGAGCAAACTCCATTTACGGTACTTTCTTTCTCTCTAAAATATCACTACAAACTTTCAGTTACTTCTTTTCTTTTTCTTTCTCATTCCCTTTATTTCTTTTCTCTACCAAAATCCCATAACTTAGCTCCAAAAATTAGAGACAACTGTTACATTGGTGATGAAGTTTGATGGGCGACCACCTCTTTAATGCTAATCTAACTCCTTCCTCTATGGACCTCTAGTCAGAAATAAATGTAAAAGGAAAGGAAAAAACGAAGCGTTTTATGGAAGGTAGAAAATTGTGATAATTTATGGTGGTGGTAGTATGTAAATTTTTGTTACGGATTTTCATGAAGTTGGGTATTCTCTTTTGGAATTGTAGGGAAGAACACGAGGATGGAAAAAAGAAAATAACAGAAATTAATGAGAAAAGAAAAAGATCAAGAAAAAATTTTAAGTTCCATTTTTTTTTGGAATGAGTGAGTTATTAGAATGGGTCGAGTGAGTTTTAATTAAAACGAGGCCAATCAGGTACAGTCATGTGTCTTTTTACGACAGGACCAAGCTAGTTAAAACGATAAGGGTAGTTATACTAAGAAACTGAAATAGAGGGTAAATGTAGCTTATCCAATCAAGGCTAGCCGCGTGTCTTTTAATTTGTGATATATTTATTTATAAACTTGTAATTTAGTACGTCGGAAAATTCAGAAAAATAATCTTTAAAAAATTTAATTCATTGATAGAAAATTTAATTAAACTACTAAAAAAATTAGTTGCCCAGAACTGTAGACAATGGAAGCAGACATGGTGTATCCACTTTCTAAAAAAAATTAATGTAGTATCAACTACAAAATTAGAATAAACTACTAAATTAAACCCTAAAAACAATTGAAAACATATAATACAATAACCTTAGATCGAATAAAAAAATGTCACGACCCTAAATCCTAACCACGCGGGCGTGATGACGCCTAACATTCGCTTGCTAGGCAAGCCAATATTAGCTAAGTGATTAATCACCGTAACAATTTTAAAAATTATTAAGAAGATAAAGTTGTAAAACTTTGAAATACATAAAACTCAGACACGTTGTCTAGTCTAATTCCAGAAATTGGTGTCACGAGTGCATAAAGCTTCTAAAAATATTACAAACAGGGTGTGAAATATGACGAGCGCAAAATACAACACAAAATTAGTGCTCGCTAGTCAAAGATAGTATAATTTAATTATCGTCTCCAAAGGGATTGAATTTAAGCAATCTTCGAATAATTTTCAGTTGATTTCTATTTAGTAAAATTAGCACTTGATTTGACGACTATTACTACAATTAACTAATAAAAATTAAGCGATTAACAATTGATCAACAAAGACAGTAGATGAACAATGAAGAAATATCAATGAAAGAAATAAGGGTATTTGACTAGATAGGTGCAAGATAATTGACTCGGGATTCAACTCTTGAGTTAGTTCACTCAGTAAATACAGATAATCAGATTACACTTGAAGTTAATGTTTCTCTTTCGATTGAATAATCCAGTTGAACCACGGTAAACAATTGCAACAATAAAATGATGGTTATGATTTAAAGGTAACTTCTCACGAGTATTTTCCTATTTTCTAGTTCGATTAACAATTCAAGAGGCTCTTGCAATTACCTATTTGAATTACGAATTTAAACTGGAGGATAGGATGTAAAGAAATTCAATATCAAGCTCCTCTCTCGATTAAGCAAAATAAGAAATGACTCCACAATACGAATTATAACTCCTTCAATTAATTCTAACACTTATCAAGAATCGAATCCCTAATCAAGTTATCAAAACACTCTGTCAACATCCTGATGGAAATTACTCTGTGTCTGTGGAATAAGTCATCTCAATAAGGTTTAAAAAAAACATCAATACTAATGATTTAAACAAAACTCCCGTATTGTACCGATTGTTGGTTGAAATCTTGGTGAATTTTTGTGTCTTCTTGCTTTAGTTGTTTCTCCAATCTTTCGTAGGTCAAAAGTGGGACAATTGTATAGCGAAAATACACTGGCGCACCCCATGCGTCACATTATTGAGGATTTTCAGAGAGTTGATTTTTTCACTTTGCAGGAATTTTGCACTAGCGCTCTATGCCCCGCTGCGTGGTAGTGCAATTTTCTCAGAGTAATTTTTCTTTTTTCACTTTTGACACAGACATGGTCCTCGACCCTTGACCGTGATCCCGACTTAATTTTTTGGGCTTTTACTCTGACTTCAAAGCTCCAACTTATTCAAATTAGCTCTAAATTATCTTAATAGCTCGGTATCATTTCCTACAAGGCATAAAACACGTAATAAGCGCAAATCACCATTATTTATGCTCAACCACAAGTAAAATGCAGTGACTAAAGTGCAAACTATGACTATAATACGGGTTTCTAGCCTACCATAAGTTCCCGCACTTAAACCATTGTTCGTCCTTGAGCAATCAAACTACACTTCACATAGAGGCGACCTTCTTATCACACAACTTCCCTAACGCATCATGCCAAGAATATTTAAGACGGACTAAGCACCATATCATAACATCTTAACCTCAAGACTCGACTCAAAAGCACCACGCATTTTTCACAGCATGCTCACTTACTTTAACATAGAGGTCAAAGATTTCACCTTACCTCGCAAATCATGTGCCCTCACACAAACAATAGAGACTAGTTCAACGCATTACAAATTTCAAGAACAATTAGGACTTGAGATAGAAAGAATTCACTCACTCTCAGAATTAAGATTCATATGCCGCAGAAGACGTACCATATGCTTGCCCGTAATGTAAATAATTGAGCTCAGTCAGTCACAGATCAAGTAGGAGTTAATTTGGTTGTAATGTACTCTGCAGGACTGGTAAAGATAGATTTGGATATGGCGACTACACTTCCCTAAGCACTTTAATACATATACATTAACAATTCAAATTCAACTCTTATGTTGAACCAAACCCCAACCTTGATTCATAATAGCATCAAGCTCCTAATATCTTTAAGCACAAACAAGATGAGAACTACTACTAGCATGGAATCCATTTTTTCGTTTCTAAGTTATGATTTTGTTTTTTTTTTTTTTCAATTCTCTACAAGTAGCTCTCACAATTTTTCAAACAGTGCACCTTTCTTCTTTGTCTATAGTTTCACTCAAAACCCGTCCATAACTCACTTAGCTTTTACAAGCTCATAACAAAATCAAGTGTTCAAGAGAGATAAAAGGTTCAAACAGATAGGCAATTCAAACAAAGGGGAGCAGGCTTGTAGTGTGGTTGCCAAAGAAGTATGAATACAGGCTCAACGGGGCTAACTAAGATACATATTCATTAGATTGGTAAAAGCATACATGTTGCTCAACAAGAAAATGCCTATATTACTTCCTAGACTGAACAAGACTGCTAACTCGCTTTGCAA